ACAACTAAATCAGAATTTCTTGGTATAGGATATCAGATGATTCTAAAGAAAGGTCAAGTGTGAGAACTCATGACCCTACAGAGGAATTAATTTGCACAGGTCTGGTAAACTAAAAACAACCTCTCCAGTCATTTTACAACCAGAAGTGAAGAAACACTTTTTGCTTTAATAAATATCTTAACAAATATTCATCATCTCAAAGGTACAAATGAAGAGTATGATTTTCAGTCTTTCAGGGAAGATTATTTACATTTTAGTAAAAAGACAGACAAAAACTCAGCTTTATAAGATACAAAGTAAGTACAGATTTATTTTAACTGCTAGGTAATTAGTATCTAAATATTGACTAACATTATCTCTCATCACAACAGATAAAATGGCTAGCTGAATGTTTAGTCATCCCAAAGCACCTCTATATCAATAAACTCATTACCTAACTGTTGAATTTTGTAAACTCTGGCATCAATTATAATTTCCAACCGAGACTGAATTAAATAATAAAAAAATTATAATTTCCTCCTAGAAACCCAACATTTTGTGATGAAATTCATGCCATTTGAGGCCCTAGCAGGACATGTGGGTGATTTGGAGACAGCAGGAAGTTCAAAATTAGAGGCTTGAGTTAATGGTGTTATTTGCACAGAGGTATGTGAGATTACCAAGAAAAGAGTAGAGAATCATTAGGACAACCTTAGATTTAGGAGGCAGGGTAGAAGAAAACTTAAAGAAGTTCCTAATAGAAGGACTAGAAAGCTAAAGCTTTCTATGCAAGTTTGAAGAACAAATGGATAGTGTCGAACTGGGCAAAGAGGCTAAAGAGAATGAGGAAAGGCGACTGGATTTGCTGACTCTTGAGGCAGTGTATAATAGCTCAGGTGTGAAACTCTTCCCTGGCTTGAGTCCCAAATCTTCCACTTACAAGTGCATAGCCTTAGGACAAGTTTCTTAATCTCTCTGTGCCTCAGTTTTTAAATCTGTAAACAGGAGATAATAATAGTAACATCATAGAGTTATTGTGAGGTTTTAATGATTTTATCCAAGCAAAGTGCTTGAAATGATATCTGGCATATAGTAAGCACTCAATAAATATCAGCTGCTGTTGTTAGTGTTAATGAAGATCTTTAAGAAAACAGTTCTGGAGAGCAGGACGTTAGTTAGGACTCATTTCAGTGAAGCGACAGAAACCTAACTCAAGTTGACCCAAGGAAAATATTCACTAGTTTATATGGATAAGCCTATGATAGCTTCAGGCATGTGTGGATCTAAGTGTTCAAATGATGCCATCAGCAATATATTTTCACCTTTTGCCCTGTATTTCTCTGTGGTGGCTTTCTTTTTAGGCAGAATCAGTTTATGTAGCGGCAAGATTGGCCACTAGTAGCTGCAGGCTTAAATTCAACCAGTTTAGCAACCACAATGCAAAAAGAATACCTCTTCAGTTCCAGCAAAGTTCTGGAACAAGCTTTCAGTAGAGACCTGGACCACGTGCTCGCTCCCACAGAGAGAAAGAACTAGCAATTTGGTTCGTTGCATATCATCTGCTAATCTATAAAATTGTGTGTATGGGTAGATGGGAAACAGTTCCCTACTCAGACCACAAAGGCTGAAAGTGAGATAGGCATAGTTACCCAAAGGAATATTGAGGTGCTGTTATCAAAACAAATGGAAATGGACATTTGGCAGACAAAAATAAAAAATGTTCAGTATAAATGGTGAATGTGTAGTTAACTGAGTACAAAATAAAAGATTACGAAAGGTTAGAAGGAGCCAGCTGAGGCTTGAATGATGGCAGAAATGTGTATGTAGATTTTGAGATTTCTTCAAAATGATCAGCAGCCCAAGAGGAGAAACCATAAATAGTAATATGATGTGATTTACATGATGTTCAGGATCGGAACAGTGAACATGGTACAGGACGAAGAGCAAAGTAATGAAGGTGTCATGCAAGTGTGGTTGAAATGGCAATCCATGGGACTCAGATTGGGCAGGGATGCAATAAGGACATAGAAACATTGAAAAAGTAATCCCTGCATATTGGATGTTCCCGCAGTAGAAAAGTCATGATGGCGGTGTCAATCAAAGAAAATTATGAGACGAATCTCAATAATTTTTGGAGACGTATTTGCCAAAGTTAAGGATGCTGCTGGGAGACAGGTCTATGCTTTTCTCTGAAAATGATTTTGAGGGCTCCAAATTTAAAAGGAAAGGGCAGGATATTGAGAAGCATACAGTTTTCAGTTAAAAGGGGCAAAGGAAAAATGTGGGGAATCTGCATTTTACCTAAGATAATATAGACAAAATGGTGTATGGGAACAATCTGATATGCATTTGTGTCTGGCTGGCTGGGTGACTGCACCTGTAAAGATAAGCTGTCAATTAGCATTGCCATGATAAAGTTGTAACAGCTCACCAGGAATTTCCTTTTTGACAAAATATGGGGAAAGCAATTGGTTTTCACCCTGTAACCATTTTAATTAGTAACCAAAAGGTGAAGATGAAGACAGATTTGCATGACCCAGTTCCCAGCTTGACTTTTCCATTTGGCTAAATGAGTTTGAGGTCCCAAAATTTAATTTCCTTTCACAGGGGAAGATGGTAGTTAGGACATAGGGTTAACATGCACCTCCTATTTGGATGGACAGAACAGCATGTGGAGATTCACACTATGAACTTTTGCTCCAAGAATCACACAGCACCATGCCAGGAAAACCTAAAGAATTCACAGATCCTGTGGAGGAAGCACATGTCACTGCAGATTCCATGAGACAAATGAAAAACTATGAGTTCTCAAGGTCTGAAAGAGGGAAAGCCTGACTTCAAACACGTAGTCCCACTGGGGAATCTGAAAATACAGATCTGACAAGGATTTAACCTTATCTAGAGCTGGAATGGATTTAGGGAACTGTGCAAAATATAAAAGTAAAAGCAACAGTGGGAAAAGCCTTATAGGCACTCCCATTCTTCAGCTTGAGCACAAAGAAGCCATCCCTGATTGTATCTCACAACAGCCCTTGAAGAAGGCACTCAGCAGAATTAGGAAGGGGTCACAGGGTATAAGAAGCTTCCAACTGAATTTTGCAATAATATTAACTGGGCACTAACTTTTTTGACATAATCTAGGGGAGAATGGGAACTGTTGGAGATACAAGGGCAGGAGCCACAGCCAACATTGTTGGCAGATGGGGAGGGGCAAGGCCTGAAAGCAGAGCTTGCTTGCTAAGTGGGGTAACTTATGGCCTGAGGCAAGGTCTGAATTTCACAAGAGCAAGCTGCTTGAATCTAAACTTGGTACTGTTAGTGGGACACTGCAGGAGCAAGACCAGCCTTGCCAACTGCATGGGAGGTGAGTGAGACCTTTTACTACTGGCTATTCCCCACTTTTCTGGTGAATAATACTGCTAAGCAGAGGCAGCCATACTCCCCTCTGGAACATGACCTCATTGGCCTGAGAACCACCCTCCCAACCCCCACAGTGGCATGGCAAGCCCACCCAAGGAGAGTCTGAGTTCAGACCCTCTTAACCCTGCCTCCAAATGATGGTATTTGTCTTTCCATCCTGGTAGGTGAACACAAAAGGCATACACTCATGGGAGCCTTAAGGTCCCACCCATTGCCTGAGTAACCAGAATACCTCCCCTGGCCAACTTAGTGGGGGCTTATATCCCACTGCTAGTATCACAGCTGGTGCTCTCTTGAAAGCACCAACTCCTGGCTGAAGGCCAACCAACTTAGGCCTTTATAGCAACTCATGACAGAATAACCCTGCTATCAGGAAGGAGAAAACAACAGTTAATACCACCACCTGCAATATCCGGGCTAACCAAAGACCCTGAGTTTGTCCACATGAAAACTTCACCACTAGCATAATGAACATTCAAGAAAACCAGCACACTAAGCCTATCTACAACCAAGGGCTCTCACAGAGTCTACTTCACTCCCCAGCTACCTCCACCAGAGCAGGTACTGATATTCATAACTGGGAGACCTATAGATGGATCACATCACAGGACTCTTTGCAGACATTGCTTAGCACTAGCCTTGAATCTGCTGGCCCCACTTGGTTGTTAGACCCAGAAAAGCAATAACAATCACAGCAGTCCAGTGAAGGGTCTTGGAGAAGGGGTCCTTGTTCCCCTCTGGCACTCCACCACAGACACAGCTACACAACTGTGCACCTAGGCACATAGTCATCAGATTATCTAAAGTCAAGATGAAGGAAAGAATCTTAAGAGCTGTGAGACAAAAGCATTGGGTAACCTGTAAAGAAAAATCTGTGAGGAGAAACCTTACAAGCAGAAGGGATGGGGGTCCTGATTTGGCCTCCTGAAACAAATTAATTGTCAGCCAAGACTTTTTTAATCCAGCAAAACAAACAAACAAAAATTTATTAAGTGAAGGAAAGATTAAAGTATTTTTTATACAAACAAATGCTGAGAGAATTCACCACTATCAATGCTACACTACAAGAAATGCTAAAAGGAGTTCTAAATCTTGAAACAAAACCTCAAAATACACCAGAATAGAACCTCCTTAAAGCATAAATTTCACAGGCCCTGTAAAAACAGTAACACAATGAAATATACAAGGTATTTAGGCAACAATTGGTATGATGAATAGAAGAGTACCTCACATCTCAATACTAAAATTGAATGTAAATGGACTAATTGTTCTACTTAAAAGGGTGATTATTAAAAAGTCAGGAAACAACAGATGCTGGAGAGAATATGGAGAAAGAAATAGGAACACTTTTACACTGTTGGTGGGAGTGTAAATTAGTTCAAACGTTGTGGAAGGCAGTTCCTCAAGGATGTAGAAATAGAAATACCATTTGACACAGCAATCCCATTACTGGCTATATACCCAAACTATTATAAACCATTTTACTGTAAAAACACATGCACATGTATATTTATTGCAGCACTATTTACAATAGCAAAGACTTGGAACCAACCCAAATGCCCATCGATGATAGACTGGATAAAGAAAATGTGGCGGCACGGGAAGACGTTCCGCTTTGAAATGCAGCGGGATTTGCTGAGTTTCCCGCTGTCTCCAGCGGTGCGGGCAAAGTTGGTGTCTGCGGGTTTCCAGACTGCTGAGGAACTCCTGGAGGTGAAACCCTCCGAGCTTAGCAAAGAAGTTGGGATATCTAAAGAGGAAGCCTTAGAAACTCTGCAAATTATAAGAAGAGAATGTCTCACAAATAAACCAAGATATGCTGGTACATCTGAGTCAGGAAAGAAGTGTACAGCACTGGAACTTCTTGAACAGGAGCATACCCAGGGCTCCATAATTACCTTCTGTTCAGCACTAGATAATATTCTTGGGGGTGGAGTACCCTTAATGAAAATGACAGAAATTTGTGGTGCACCAGGCATTGGAAAAACACAGTTATGTATGCAGTTGGCAGTAGATGTGCAGATACCAGAATGTTTTGGAGGAGTGGCAGGTGAAGCAGTTTTTATTGATACAGAGGGAAGTTTTATGGTTGATAGAGTGGTAGACCTTGCTACTGCCTGCATTCAGCACCTTCAGCTTATAGCAGAAAAACACAAGGGAGAGGAACACCGAAAAGCTTTGGAGGATTTCACTCTTGAAAATATTCTTTCCCATATTTATTATTTTCGCTGTCGTGACTACACAGAGTTACTGGCACAAGTTTATCTTCTTCCAGCTTTTCTTTCAGAACAGTCAAAGGTTCGGTTGGTGATAGTGGATGGCATTGCTTTTCCATTTCGTCATGACCTAGATGACCTGTCTCTTTGTACTCGGTTATTAAATGGCCTAGCCCAGCAAATGATCAGTCTTGCAAATAATCACAGATTAGCTGTAATTTTAACCAATCAGATGACAACAAAGATTGATAAAAATCAGGCCTTGCTCATTCCTGCATTAGGGGAAAGTTGGGGACATGCTGCTACAATACCGCTAATCTTTCATTGGGACCGAAAGCAGAGGTTGGCAACATTGTACAAGTCACCCAGCCAGAAGGATTCCACAGTACTGTTTCAAACCACACCTCAGGGATTTAGAGATACTGTTACTACTTCTGCATGTTCATTGCAGACAGAAGATTCCTTGAATACCCGGAAACGGTCATGAGACACAGAGGAAGAATTATAACCCAGAAACAAATCTCCAAGTATGTAAATTTACTGATGCTGTGAAATCAATGTGTACAAGTAGACTTTTTACTTTAAGATATAAATAAACACTAGGGCATGAATGAAAAAAAAAAAAAAAAAGAAAATGTAGCACATATACACCAAGGAATACTATGCAGCCATAAAATAGAATGAGTTTATGTCCTTTTCAGGGACATGGATGAAGCTGAAAACATCATTATCAGCAAACTAACACAGGAACAGAAAACCAGCACCACATGTTCTTACTCATACGTGGGAATTGAACATGAGAACACATGGGTACAGGGAGGGGAACATCACACACTAGGACTGGTTGCAGGTGGAGAACAAGGGTAGGGAGAGCATTAGGACAAATACATAATGGAAGCAGGGCTTAAAACCTAGATGCCAGGTTGAGAGGGGCAGGAAACCACCATGGCACTATGTAACAAACCTGCATGTTCTGCACATGTATCCCAGAATTTAAAGTAAAATTTTAAAAAGCTGCAGAATGGGTAAAACTTTAACAACCAATTATCTGCTGTCTCCTACAGATCTAACACATAAGGACTCACATCAATTTAAGATAAATGAGTGGAAAAAAAATTCCACACAAATAGAAACCAAAAGCAAGTAGGAGTAGCTATTTTTGTATTGGACAAAACAAAGTTTAAAGCAATAACTGTAAAAACCATCAAACAAACAAACCAACAAAAAACAAAAAAAAGACCAAAAAATAAAAATCAGACATTATATAATGATAAAAGGATTAGTCCAACAGGAAAATATCACAATTCTAAATATATATGCACCTAACACTAGAGCTCCCAAATTCATAAAACAATTTCTACTAGACCTAAGAAATGAGATAGATGGCAACACAATAATAGTGGATACTCTAATACTCCGCTGACAGCACTAGACAAGTCATCAAGACAGAAAGTCAACAAAGAAACAATGGACTTAAGAAACTATACCCTAGAATAAGTGAACTTAACAGATATTAACAGAACATTCTACTGAACAGCTGCAGAATATACATTCTTTTCATCAGCAGATGGAACAGTCTCCAAGATAGACCATATGATAGACAACAAAATAAGTCTTAATACATTTAAGAAAATAGGAATATTCTGAAGCATCCTATCAGCCCACAGTAGAATAAAACTGGAAACTAACTCCAAAATGAACCCTCAAAACCATCCAAATACATGGAAAATAAATAATCTGCTCTTGAATGAGTCCACAATGAAATCAAGATGGAAATTTAAAAAGTACTTGAACTGAATGATTTTAGTGACACAACTTATCAAAACCTCTAGGGTACAGTAAAAAAATGGTGCTAAGAGAAAAGCTCATAGCATTAAATGCCTACATAAGTCTGAAAGAGCACAAGTAGACAATCAAATGCCCCACCTACAGTAACTAGAGAAACAAGAACAATCCAAAGCCAGACTCAGCAGAAGAAAATAAATAACCAAGATCAGAGCAGAACTAAATAAAATTGAAAGAAAAAATAAATGAAAAAATAAGTTGGTTCTTCAAAAAGATTAACAAAATTTATAGACTATAAGTGAGATTAACCAAGAAAAGAAGAGAGAAGATTCAAATAAACTCAATTATAAATGAAGTGTGAAATATTACAACTGATACCACAGAAATACAAAGGATCATCCAAGGCTACTATGAACACCTTTATGCACACAAACTAGAAAATCTAGAGTAGGTAGATAAATTCCTGGAAATATACAACCCTCCTAGATTGAATCAGGAAGAACAGAAACTCTGAGTAGACTAATAACAAGTAGTGAGATTGAAACTGTAATTTAAAAATTGCCAACAAAAAAGTCCAGGACCAGATTGATTCACAGCTGATTTCTATCAGACATCCAAAGAAGAATTGGTATCAATCTTACTGAAACTACTCCAAAAGATAGAGAAAAAGGAAATCCTCCCTAAATTATTCTATGAAACCAGTGTCACCTTAACACCAAAACCAGGAAAGGACATATCAACAACAACAAAAAAATACATACAAATATCCTAAACATAGATGCAAAAATCCTCTACAAAATACTAACTAAATCTAACAGCATGTCAATCATATAATACATTATGATCAAGTGGATTTCATACCAGGGATGCAAGGATGGTTTAACATACACAAGTCAATAAATATGATATATCACATAAACAGAATTAAAAACAAAAATCATATCATGTCAGATGCAGAAAAAGCATTTGATAAAATCTAGCACCCCTTTATAATAAAAACCATCAGCAAAATTGGCATAGAAGAAATATACCTCTAGGAAATAAAAAGCTATCTATGACAAACCCATAGCCAACATTATGCAAAGTAGAAAAAGTTTAAAGCATTCTCCCGAGAACTGGAACAAGTCAAGGATGTTCACTTTCACCACTTCTATTCAATGTAATACTGGAAGTCCTAACTAGAGCAATTAGAGAAGAGAAAGAAATAAAGGGCATCCAAACTGGTAAAGAGGAAGGCAAACTGTTGCTGTTTGCCAGCGATGTGACTGCATACCTAGAAAACCCTAAAGACTCATTCAAAAAGCTCTTAGATCTGATAAAGGAATTCAGTAAAGTATCGGATACAAAATGAATGTACACAAAACAGTAGCACTGTTATACACCAAGAATGACAAACCTTAGAATTGAGGAAAGAATTCAGTCCTTTTTTACAACAGCTACAAAAACAATAAAATACTTAGATATATACCTAACCAAGGAGGTGAAAAGTCTCTACAAGGAAAACTACAAAACACTCCTGAAAGAAATAATTGATAACCACAAACAAAAGGAAAAACATCCCATACTCATGGATGGGTAGGATCAATATTGTGAAAATGACATGCTACCAAAAGCAATCTACAGATGCAGTGCAATTCACATTAAAATACCATCATCATTCTTCATAGAACTAGAAAAAACAAACCTAAAATTTATATGGAACCAAAAATGAGCCCACATGCCAAAGCAAGACTAAGCATAAAGAACAAATCTGGAGACATCACATTACCTAACTTCAGACTATATTACAAGGCTATAGTTACCCAAACAGCATGGTACTTACATAAAGATAGGCATGTTGACCAACAGAAATAGAAAACCCAGAAATCAAGCCAAATACTGATCTTCAGCTAAGCAAACAAAAACAGAAAGTGGGGAAAGAACACCCTATTTAACAAAGGGTGCTGGGATAATTGGCAAGCCACATGTAGGAGAATAAAAAGGGATCCTGATCTCTCACCTTATACAAAAGTCAACAGAAGATGGATCAAAGGCTTAAATGTAAGACCTGAAACAATAAAAACTCTAGAAGATAACTAAAGAAAAACTCTTCAAGCCATTGGCTTAGCAAAGAGTTTATGGCCAAGAACCTGCAATCAAATGCAACAAAAACAAAAATAAATATGGGACCTAATTAAAGTAAAATATTTCTCAACAGCAAAAGAAATAATCAGCAGAGTGAACAGCCCACAGAGTGGGAGAAAGTATTTGGAAACTATGTATTTGACAAAGGACTAATATCTAGAATCTACGAGGAACTAAAACAAATAAGCAAGAAAAATCAAATAATCCCATCAAAAAGCAGGCTATGGACATGAATAGACAATTCTCAAAAGAAGATACACAAATGGCCAACAAAGATGAAAAAAATGTTCAGTATCACTAATGATCAGGGAAATGAAAATTAAAACTACAATGAGAACCACCTTATGCTGTAAGAGTGGCCATAATTAAAAAATAAAAAAATAATAGGTGTTGGTGTTCATGTGGTGAAAAGGGAACTTTTACACTGCTGGTGGGAATGTAAACTAGAATCACCAAAAATAGTATGGAGATTCATTAGGAACTAGAAGCAGAAAGCAATCCCACTACTGGGTATCTGCCCAGAGGAAAATAAGTCATTATATGAAAAAGACATTTGCACCTACATGTTTATAGTAGCACAATTTGCAATTGCAAAAATATGGAACCAGCCTAAATGCTCATCAACCAACATCAAATGTGTGGATAAAGAAAATGCATATATACATCATGGAATACTACTCTGCTATAAAAAGGAATGAAATAATGGCATTTGCTGCAACCTGTAGGGAGTTGGAGACCATTATTCTAAGTACAGTAACTCAGGAATGGAAACCAAATATGGTTATGTTCTTAATTATAAGGGGAGTTAAGCTTTGAGGACACAACAGCATAAGAATGATATAATGGACTCTGGGAACTTGGGGGAAAGGGCGGGAGGGGGTGAGGGTTGAAAGACTACACATTGAGTACAGTTTACACTGCTTGGGTGATGGGTACACCAAAATCTCAGAAATCACCGCTAAAAGAACTTATCCATGTAACTAAAAACTACCTGTTCCCCAAAAACAGTTGAAATAGAATTAAAAAAAATAAATACTAGGTAACAACAACAGCAAAAAAGAAAAGTTATAATACTAGATCCAAAATTTCTAAGAAAGGTGGCAATGATCTTGGAGATTTGTAGGTAACAGGATGGGAGATGGGGAGAGATCTCAGGAGAAGGTAGGTTATTTTCACTTTTCACTCTCGTCAATAAGTGTAAGACTAAACAGACATATTTTTTAAATATGCAAATTTCAAATGTAAATGTCACATAATATCTGAAAAAGATGAAAAGATCTGATCTTGTATTTGCAGTTAACCAATACATGCAAATATTTGTTTTACTACCACTGGAATGAATATAATTCACTCAAAATACTGTAGTAAATCAGGAATGTATTAACATCATATTGTTATATAAGCTTATACATAGTATAATTATATAAACTGATAAATATTTTACATATTTATAATATATATATAATGTATAAATTAACAAAATCAAAGTCATTTTTAACCAGCTGTTATCATTCCCCAATTCCGTAAAATACATAATAGGAAAAACCTTTTTTCAAAGGTAAAAAAGGCATGACACTGTGAAAATACCAAAGAATACTTGAGAATCATGATTTTTCAGCCACATGATCTTAGGCAAATCACATAATAACTTTGACTCCAAGTTTTTTTAACTTGGAGTAAAAATAGTTTATCTTAAAT